GCAAAAAAGCAGCTTATGCATTATGCATCCTTTGCCAACAGGAACATTCAATTCCAGAAAGTAAGAGAGAAGCATATAATATGTTGAATCTGCATGTGGGTAGATGAGGTAGGGAAAGAAGAGGCGAATCAATTAGGCAAAAAGCTCATTGTTCATGGATATATCTATACGTTCTCTTTCAGAGCACGGGCGTGCACGGAATGTCCGAAATTTCAATTTCTGTCAGTCCGCTTTTCTAGACGCGGTTCTATATGCGCTGCAAATCGGATTTCCCCGATCTCGCTCGCATTGAATTTCTATATATGTATAATATTATGCTCTCGCGATTGTAAATTTTTTTCTTCTGTATTCTGATTCGTGCATATAAATTCAAGGCCCAGTTATTTTATTTGAGTGAAAAAAAATTATTCTACGCATGGATCAAGTGTGTATAAAGCTCGTATAAAGAGACGACGACAGAAAGAGAAAGAGAGAGAGAGAGCGAGGAGGGCAACAAGTTCTTTATTATCGGATTAAGAGTGCATTTACATCGAGAGAGCAGTAGCCTCCTTGTGCACACATACACAGTTAGATTTATATATATAAATATATATACGCGCACATGGGATGATATAATCGCGACGTCCGCTCGATCATTCGGATCGTCAAGCGAAGCGACTCACACATGCATACTACACCCACGCACATCGTCTCTAGCTTTCTATTACGTATATAACTCTGCTCTTGGCATTGTAATAACATTTTTTCTAGAAAAAAAAACATCGAGCTTAGATGTAAATTCATTTCTAGGTCTTTTTATCAAAATTAAATTAATACGACAAGAAGTATCTTGACACGACGGAAACAGGAATTGTTAAGACGCTTGTTAACGATCAACTATAATGACTGCAATCATACAATAATTATAAAAAGTATTGACTCAAACGAGAAAGAATAGATTGCACCAACAAAATTAAAAATATCTTAAAAATTACTTCAATCATAAAAAAAATTTACTTTATGTTACTTGGTTCGAAAACTTGTTTTCATGTCCACCACAGAGCCTCCTGATGGAGGTGAAGCATCTGTTGCTCGTACCGTCTCGTGCGTACGCGTTGCTTTAAAATGAAAAAAATCATACAGTTCCGGAGGTGAGGACATCGCTTTCCGAGATGACAAGTAGCCTATGATGAATGTGCAAATAAATTGACAAATCACCGCACGCATCATTTCGTTGCACGCGACTATTGCTAGAATAATTTGATTTATATACACCGCAAGGGTGTATAATAATAATAATTGCAACGTAGTGACAATTGCCTGCAATACACGACGCTTATTCTCGAATGATCTCTGAAGTTAAATATGCCTCGACAAGAAATTTTCATAAGCCAATTTGCAAGGCTAATTTATGCTGTATGATATCCGACCAATCGAGATAATTCATTTATCGTATTCGAGTCCAATAAATATATTCAAAAGTTCAGCGCTAAAAAGAGAGCGAGAGAGAGATTAAATTAGCACTTTTATATTTTTTAGGAGGTTCGCCAGCCATTTCATCTGTTAATCCGCATAGCACCCTGAACTGATGAACGCAATTTTAGAATCAATTTACATTTTATTACGTAAAGGTGTACTCGGGGTTCAAAGTCAACAACAAAACAAGTTTCGCTGTATTTGCTTGCAACTGAAGGAAGATCGATATCATGATGGTTCAGGTTTCGAAATTGAGTCGTATCTGTACACTCATAAAAAAATAACAATTGTTATCAGTATTGCTCAGCCGTTAAATATTTTACTCGTGCATACACTGACTCATCTTTGAAACGTTTCGAAGCTAATTTTTAGACGGTTTCCCTTAAATCTGCCTTCTTATTGGCCCGAGACGCGTCGAACCTGTGTGTGATACTATGTATAAAAATCTACACTCCCGGAAGGTTTAAAATTTAATCATCGCTCGGCCACGAGATGAGAGCAAAAAATTGTCTATTCGTTTCACACTTAAAAAGTCATGCGATAAAAGGTATGCACACACATATATACACACTCGCATCCACACACACCCACACACACACAAACTCATTGAAGCTATTTTTCCTTCCATTTTTTTCTGTCCCGCGCTCGCGGAATTTTTGCAAGAGATAATAACAAGTACAAAACGCCGAAAATCTGCTGACACGTTTCTGTCTCGCTCTGGAGTTTGCATAGGTGGGTGTGCTGCATTTAAAAAAACCTAGTTGCTCTGCAGCAGCGTTATGTGGTGTGGTAGTATCGGTTTCACGCTCTCTCTCTCTCTCTCTCTCTTTCTAGCTTTGACGACGATAGTCCCTTTTCTACACTATGTTTTTGTCACGAAACAGCCAAAAAAAAGAAGAAGAAGAAAAAGAGGGAAAATAAAGAAAAGGGTGTGTGTGTGTGTGTATGTGTGAGTGGAAAATGCCCGTGAGCGACATTTCTTTAAACACGCGCCCGCTCGCTCGCAAGCTCGCGCGAGTGCGAGAAAAAGCTTTTAATACCGAAGGCTTAGTGTCGTATGGCTGAGAGTTATAGATGACTACTACTAGAATGCGATGAAAAAAAGCGACCTATTTATAGATATACATACGTCTGATGCTGCTACTACTACTGACGTGTATATCTACCTATACAGACATATTTCACGAAATTTTTCAGCTTTTATCGTAAGCTCAATGAAAAGAAGATTTCTTTTCGTGGCTGGAATTTTCGCTTGCTCAACTGTTGAAAAAAATCTTATATATATATATAAAAAAAGATGGCAAGTCGATTAACGAACCTAGTCCGCAAGAAGTGAAAAAGCATCAAAAAGCAATTGAAATCTCTAGCGAGCGCAAATGGCTATATCGAAAATATATCGCTGATTGCGCAAGCTCGCCCGCGTGCTTTTGCCAGCAATAAATAATTCTACACGAGCTCGGCCACTTGCGGTTTTTCAATAGTATATTATACGAGAAAAAGTGTTATTGCCGGGTCAGTTTTGCCGCGGGCTGGAGAACTCGCGCAGGACCGCACGCACTCAGCATCGTGCTTTGCGTTTTCACGCGTAAATGCAGCTTTCACCCCTACGCGAGCGAGTGACCTACTTTTATAAACGCAAATGGTTAATAAGAAAAAAGCTCTGTACAATTTTTAAAACAGATTGTACCATAGAGATTTTTTTTGAGAATGCGAGGGAAAACACATGGCTGCCACGGAATCCATAGCCTTTTGAGGTTTACAAAAACAGAGAAATGTGAATTATTCGAGTTATTTTATACATGCATATTTATGTAGTTGTCAAAGTTAGAAACATTCGTTTAAATAAATATTTACAATTTATACGGTCTATAACAGCTACAAATGTAATTAATCATGAAAAAAAAACTAGTAATCAATCAATGACAACGAAAACACAAGTTTCTATCTATTCCTCGTTTTCAATTCATAATCTTTAAAATGTAATTGTGTATTCGCATTTCTCAAAATTAACGTGAGAAAGTGAGAGATAGGAGGGAAGCAGATAGTAATTTTGCCCTATAATCTCAAGGGGATGATGTTCTCGCAAGCTCAGCTCTCTCTCTCTCTCTCTCTTAGTTTCTTGGTACGCGGAATAATTGCCACTTCATGGTAGTATATTTTCAAGAAGCTTAAGTCTGACCCACGGCTTCTTTCAGAGAAATTAATTTTATATAACGCATAACGGAAACTTATTGGTACTGTATAAAAAACTCGAACAATAATAAATTTTTTTAATGGAATTTTTTTATTATAAAAGCAAAATGCATTGTTTTTCGAAAAGATCGTATCCTTACTAAAAAATCAATGCCATATTTTGCGAATTCTAACGGAATTTCGTAAAATTTTAAAAATAAATCCATCAGAATTTCTACATGTAATATTTTGAACCATAAAAGTTAATGTTTCATGATTCTCTGAATTTACGATCCTTTGGTCAAAATAAATAACTTTGCGATATATCACATAGAATATTGATTTTTTTATATCCTATCTTATCTAATGGGCTATGTTTTGAGAATAATTATCATGACTAGACGTAGCAATTTTTAGCCTAGAGTGATTTACTCAACAGATTAATTAGCAGAAATGTTAGAAATATGGACAAGATAAGCATACAAGATATATTTGAAAAAGCCAAGGGAAGCAGTGACCTAGATTTCAAGTATGACCATATGCTCGAAGGATTAGTGACTGACTCGAACAATTCGAGTCGAGCCGTATCCAAGAGCTTTGGTTTTGTTTAATCAAATCCTGCCTTTTTTCTCTTGGCGTATCTTTCCAAAAATAAGTTGAAAAGTATCGGCATCGATTCGCGTCCTAAAAATTACTATTGTTTGAACTTAGGTTAACATTAACACCAAAAAAATCAACTCATGGAGATACTTACGTCGTGGCGTATAGTTACGACAAGGTAGACTTGGCGTCTACTGGATAACGCGATACTATTGGTCCTCTTGACATTTCTAACTTTTAACGATCCTCCTTTTGGGACATTTTTGCGCCTCGTTTGTAATACGTAAAACTCTGAGTATTATAATTATCGGTGTATATTTTACAAATACTGTAGATAGATGTTGAAATAAAAAAGAACGTCTCGTCGAATCATTAGAAGAGATAATGCGTCGCGGTCGTTCGGGCATTGTTTATCGTCGTAAGAAAGACACAATGGCAGCTCGTCGATCGAGATAATTGCAAAATTTTTTTCTCTCGCCCGAGACCTTTTATTCTCATCTCTTTTTGCCCGACGAGTCTCAAATTTCAAAGGCTGAGGCGAAACAATGAATTACTCGAGGATCTCTTCTTTTGATATGATCCATTGGATTTTGCTTCTAGATAATGAAGCATCGCGAGCAGAGTTTGCTGGTGAGCACGATTAATCCTTTGCGAATGGCAAGCAAGCATTAACGAGTAGAGGAAAATTCGATGAAATTGCTCAATAGACGTAGTCGATGTTATGCAAGCTGCGTAACTTGTAACTAAATTTGTCTCTTGTCTTTTTGTTTCAGGTTTGAGCTTCTATAGATAAGCCCAGGGTTTATTTCTCTATATTTTGTGCAGCGAGTAGCGCCGAGTAGAGGCTCATAGGCATATACTTTGAGTGCATTAACGGCGGGACAGACTCACTTGGAGCATATCAGCGGCGGATCGTTCGCCTCGCATCGAGACTGAACGCAAGCATATATCTATACGTGTGCATGCGAGTGTACGCCGAGATATCAGACATGATATAGGATGCCAGAAGGAGGAAGGGATCCCTGATGTGCTTCACGCGAGCCGCTCGAAGGGGGAGAGTACACGAGGCATTGGCAGTAGCAGCAGCATCAACCGAAGCAGCAGCGGCAACAAACGACGAGCACGGCGCGTATCAGTAGTATCAGTGGCTTAACTCTCTCAGCATAGTCTGTCATAGGCTAAAACTGCGCATACCACCCAAGGTGGCATAGATTGAGATACATCCTCATATAGCGACTACGCAGCGAGTGCGACCGAGAGAAAAAGAGAGACGACACATCGTACGCGCTCGCAAGCATAGGCCGAGTTACTTCCGCCACAGGAAGTGTCCCCGGAGCATCGGCATCGAAAGCTCGATTCGACAAAATATACCCTCTGCAGTGCTCACGTACCGATATATCTGTGGATATCAGTGTGAAAAAGTGTATTGTTTTTTTGCTCCATCGATCGAATTCGATAAGGAGCACCGGATCGAGTGTTACCTACAGTCAGCTGATTACCCGCTTATGTAAATATATGTATTGTCGTGCTATGTATAAGCCAACGTGTGCTTAAATATACCGCCGAGTATACGATAGCATAAACGCTACCTGTCTGCGAGTGTACGCGCACCAATACATTTGCAGCCCAGCAAATCGAGCTTGCAAGGATATCGTCGTCTCATCTTATAAGCAGCGACGATGGAAGTGGCTACTGAACTGTGAGTGAACCGATAAGTTTATAATACAATTTCTCTTGTCTTAAAATACATTCCTATGCATTACCAATTCTTTCTCTAAACCTCTATCTTTATTGTACACTAACAGCACTATCATAGGCATCATAATACACGCTCTTATATATCATATTTTTTGTGGGATTTTTTAAATGTTCTCATCACTATTTAAATCATTTTATTGCTGTCTAGATACACCATTAGTTTCGTATTAATCTTTCTCTTCTTTAGTATTTTCTATAAATTTTTATAACGGTTTTAATTCGACCAAAGTCATTATCTTTCAAATCGAATTATTTCATCTTAACTGCTCAGATTTTGCACATATGTCCAGAATATCAATAGTCACAATCTCAACCTCGAACGAAATTATCCAACCGATATGTTGCTCTGGACAAGCAATTTTATGCTGAAAATCAATAAAAGTCGTAAAATAAAAAAAATGATGTACAAGTGCTTGAGCCTAGAGCGGTCCAAGGGTTTGATTACTTTGTTTCAGGTGGAAATTGTAACCATAGATATTCAAAAGTAGAAAGCACAATCTGAAAGCTACAGCTTTAATAGTTTTTTTTTCAAAACAGAGAGATAAAAACAAGTTTAAGAAATATACATTTTGCAAAACACAAAAGTAGAAAAAATTAATCGTAATAAACACAACGTGTATTTTAGTGAGAAATAAAAACGTTTGAATTTTTTGGAGCTTTTGGATTTTGAAAACCACACGATAAAAGTTAAAAAGTTCAATTAAAACAATAATTAAAAAGAAACGTTAAGGTATAACTCATGAGCCTTTTAACGCGTTTACATGTGCGTAAATATAAAACTCATATCTCCGTTTTTGCTCTACATTTTCTCTCCATTTGTTTGGCTTTCACTCGCGATTATTTCAGCAGCATTATTCGTACATATATTTGCTCATTTTGAACTCGGGGCTTTCTCGAGTTATGTTATGGCAAACAGTCATTAAATTCAAATTTGAACATGCGCCAGTGCTAATAATTCGTACGTTTGCGCGTACACGAACGTAGTTGTGCTTTGTACTGGTGTGACGATGCTCTTTTTCAGTATATCGCAGAGAAATTACATATAATATGCGTGACAAGTGTGAGTGTATGAGTCCGTGTAGGTGCGAGTACGTGAGTATTGCACAATTGTACTGGTTTTGCAAGGCTACACGCGAGATCACTACACGCTTGGCGTAATCTTAACTTTGAACTTGAGCGTAATCATCGAGGAATAGTCTGAGAAAAATCGACTTTCGCTTTTTTTTCTTCAGTAGGTGGGGTTTTATCGCGCTGGATGCTTTTCGCAATACGACGAAAAATATACTTGACGCGCATGAGTCCGACTATTATGCACACACCACTGGTCAAGATGAATTGAGCGAAAAAAAAGAGAAAGACAGACGCGCCGTGGAGGTCAAAAATAAAGATAAACGCTTTTTACGAGCGCACACATAAATGTGTACCTTGGGAGACGAGCGCCAGAGTCTCGATAAATGTCAAAGAGAAAGAACTTGGTATTACCGCATTATATTCACCAAGCGCTTCAAGTATACTCATAAGCACACGAACTCGCTAGCAGTAATATTCGAGTAACAATTACGAAAGTCAAGAGTAATCATTACTTTGAGAGGATCATCACGAAACATCTGGTAATGGAAGCAAAGTATCTTTCCCTCTCTTCATTGTGTATTTACTCTTGGTGTGCGTGTGCACGCGAATGTATCGTATCTCATGCATCAGATCATCAAATGTGCAAGGATTTTCTCATCCGTGGATACGCTGTCATATACACGCGAGCATACGCATAGCCTTGAAAGAGCCGAGTTCACGATATAGGACTGCGGCAATTAAAATGTGCGCAGCGATAGATATACATGTATATATATTATATGTAGGTACGCGCCATGCCCGATTTCGCTCGTAAATTTGCATGATAACGCCAAAGTTATAAGGCGTCACGCTTCGTTACGTTTGAATACGATTGTAAATTTCAAATGCGGAGAATTAGCTCGATTTTCCAAAATTTCGCCCCTGAAGACGAGACTGCGAGCTTTTGTCAAGCTCATACCAAGATCGAGCTTGCAGGGGCTACGTGTACAATTACGAATTAGCATTTATAGAAAATGCCTTGATATTCGCCCCCAAGCTGGGCCTGGATTTCGCGCCCAAATTATTCGAAATAAACGATGTAATGTAAAGCTGCATTATGTATAATATTGAGAGCGTGCGCACAGTTTACGCGTGGAAACTGCCATGAAACTTTGAGGAGACAGTCACTATAATACGCGTCGCTGGCCTACTACAAGTTCAAGAGGCGAAGAGAGAAAGAGAGAGAGAGTTGGCAAGTTTGAGGCCCTACACAGCATCTATGCAGTTTTCCTCTGTCTCTCTCAGCCAAACTAAACTTGCCAACAAGTTTCTCTTCTCTGTGTACGTATTCAAGAAAGCTCTTGTTCCCGAACGTAATCTATCTAAATTGCATATATATCGTAGCCGATATATTCGCAGGCACACATGGGCGCCCACACTTGAAAATTGTCAATATAATGTTATTCAAGCGTTCGTTAAATAAGTTTACTCGGTGGATATTGTCAAGAATAAACGATCGAACAGTAATAATCCTAAACTGCAGTCGATGCGTTATTATTTAATAATCGAGCGATCGAACTTTCAATCAGCGATTGTTTCGCTCAAAGTTGAAATCACGCCCGTCTCGAAGCTCGAGAAGGAAATGGAGCATGCACGATGCTTTCTGGGCAAAAACCAAAGAGGGACTACGTTGTATTTTGTAAACTTTGACCGAGTTTTTAATAATCTCTACGGGTGCGATACTCTTTCTCTCTTTCAGGCGAGCGCGTTAATATTCATTGCCGAACGTGTCTGTGTACGTGCCTATATGTGTCTGCATTGGACGACTTGTCAAAGCTAGAGGATGATCTATGGCCTACATGTATGTGCGCGCGAGAAACGGAAACGTCGCCGCGATCTTTTGAATCGTTAAACATGTATCATCGTCGTAGTACAAACGATGTTACGTTGAAATTATAAAGTCAAATGATGGAAATTGACGAAAGAGACATTGCCTGCATAGATGCGTATACCTGAGCGTATCTATTTCGCAAAGCTCTGTTGAACTATTAAAGGCAATCCTCGACTTTTTTATTGGATTATATTACAATTTACCTGCAAGCTGTTCCTGGCGTGCCTGTCCACAATGTCCTTTTCAACGCTTCTTCTCTTTTTTCGGAATGAATTTACTGCTCCTTCGTTGAATCTTCAATTTGTGTTGACCAAAGGGAGAAAAAGAAAATTGGAATAGAAAAATGCAATTTCAAGTTTTCTCACTGATGAATAACCTCGACTAGACGAAGCAGAACAAGGAACAATGAAGGAAAAATATCGCACCTCGGTATCGCTTCGTTTGCTGTGCAAATGATGCTTTATCGCAACTCAGATGTTTATGAATAATTAAGCACAACTCTTGACAATAGCTAAAGAAATTTAAAAAAAATTGGCACTCACATGCATGTTGTAAATATATTAAAATCCCACAGCGGCAACTAACTCACGCGAGCATAGAATAATATGCTATATATTTTATGAAAGCCTCTTTCCAGCGTCGATTGTCCGAGAAAGCACACACATACTGCAACATTTTCAATTACCCCAAATCCTCGGTGCATATAATGCAATCGACTGGCGGGCAGCAAGTATGTATATAGCTTAGTCTGACATCATCCAAGCCAGTCAGTTGGTAATCCAACTTTAAAAGCTTAGCGAATCTCTTCTCCTCTCTATATATATTCGCTTTTCTATACTATCTCTCACGGGTACTTATCGTTTAAATACGCTTGCTCAACCAATGTCGAAAAGATTTTTCGTATCAATCAGCAGAGCACGTAGCGTACACACACGCAAGAGCGAAACCAAAATCGATAAGAGTAATTACCCACCGGTTCCATCGATATTCTCAAAACGTCTAGTCTTGCAAATTTATTCGCGGCGCGAATCTCCAGTTTTTCCTCCGCTATCGCGCCACAGTTGTCCTTGCCTTTTTTTGAAACTTTTCTCCCACTTTATACCAAGGGAGACAACAGTTTCAAGGCCGTATACTCCATCTGTTGGATATATATATAAATATATTCCTTTTTTTACTATTTTCTGTGCTGGCAACAAGCGCGTAGCCCGTCTTTCTGACTAATTTTTATCGTACTTACAGCGAGGAGTTTGAAGGAAATTTTCATACGACCTAGTTAAAAGAAAATGCGATATGCCGAGGCTCGTTGTCACCCTCATTTGTTACTTCTAGCTTACATGTTTGAGTTTTGAACATATTCAAGGGTCAGTGTCATGTTAAATAATCCCAAAAGCTCACCAACCATGTGAACATTTTGAGTAATTTTTTCATTGAGTCACGGCTTTCACAGACTTTGTTTCTTTTTTTTTCAACTAACTTCGTTGGCATAAGCTTCTTCTAATTCCAGACTTAATTTTGACTTGGTCATCAAAGTAACAGGATTGCATTTGTCTCTAAAAAGCTTGAAACCCTCGTGGTAGCTGAATCCCACAGCCTGGTCGAAAGAAGAAATTTGATGCGTAGTTTGTTCGGGTGACTTAAAAAAGCTTTCACATGCCAAACAGCAAAGTTTCATTTAATAAAACAATATAAACAGTCCAATTTTCTGTATATTTATGTATGTGTTGATGTAAATAAACACATGGTGCCAAAAAGCACGCATGTTTCAGCGAGCTTTATTTTTGTGTATAATAATCAAGCCGTTATTCCACGCTCAAGCTCTCGGTATAAATTCAATTAAGTTTTGCATTTTCAGGCGATTAATCAACACTTGGCACACAGTCGAGTGCATTGTGCGCACTTGGAAAAATTCAACTTGAGTACAATATAGCCTAGTTGGAGCGCTAGCATTCATTAATTATGAAAAATTGACGCAAATTTCTCGCGCAAAACGTTAATTGAAAGAGAGCTCGCAATAGCCGTAGGGAACATCTGGAATTGAAAAAACGAGAAAGCAAAGTAAAATGAAAAAAGTAAAGTAAAAATAAAAGCTGTGTGTATTAAAGGCCATGGAGCTTGAGAGTGTCGTCGCAAACGCGCGCTCTTAATCTCTCTCGCAGCGTGCTAGCTCTGGCGCGCGTTCCCACGCAGCCCATTGAGCTTGCGCCTGCTCTCGATCGAATTTAGCTCGAGTCTTAAAAATTGGCCACGCAATTGTTCAGATGGATTAAAGAAAAGTGAAATAACTGCAATAGTATTAAAAAAAGACGGACAAACGATGGAAGTCGAGGACGGCGAAAGGTTGGGGCTCCGGAGGCGACTTTTTGCATCCTCTATTTCGATCTCTCGCCGACTTTGTTGCCGTCGTCGTGGTAATTGATTCGATCAAAGTCGCACAGCACGAGCTTTTTGTGTTGTTTCCGCGAGGCATAATACAGGGCGCGCAAGTAGACTGGACGCGCGGTGCAGTGTCCATTCGCCAGGCACAGAGGGGAGCGCGTAAGCTGCTGCTACTACTACTACTAGCACTACATGCAGGCCACGTAGCGCAGCGCATGGACGTAGACGTTCGATGCCCGTCGTACATAGATAGGCTGCGTCGTTGATGTATAGGCGAGCAAACATATTTTCCGGCAGGCTATATTCGTGACCGTGATACGCAAATATCGGCTGCGAGCACACACACACAGGCGCGCACGAAGCTGACGAAGCGCGTGTCGCTCGTTACGAATGCGCTCGCAGACACATACGCACGAGTAATATGCAGATAGCGCGTAATCGCGATACTCTGCTCGAGCCGCAAGCGCATCGGAAATTCGTACGGATCGCGATGAGCAGCGACGCGTTCATTTTCAAAGTTGAAAATTGATCGACGAATGCCGGCTGTGTGTGTGTGTGCGCGCGCGAGATAAGAATTGCGGCTCGACGACCGCGGACGCGTGTGCACACTCGGACCTATCAAAGGCCTCGATTATTGCTTTCTAAATCCATGATCCATATGTATCTGTACGGTTGGCATATATGCAGGATAGCGGAATCCTGCACGTCCGTCGTTTCGCTCGCTTGTTCCTCGACTCTCGCGATGCGCATTCCGAGTGTCCAGTCGACGTGCCGAGACCTTTAAAAATCCGGCCACACGAGTTTTCTCTCTCTCCTCTAGCCGCGAGTCTCGCTCTATTGGCCTCCTGACAAGTGTCTCCGGGTAATTCCCCGCTGCCAAGCCCATCCGCACAACAGTCCGCACATAGCTTTTACGCCGGTTGTACGTAAACTGCCTTTTCTTTCCTTCGATCGGCGATCGCTTAAAACTTTTCGCTCCATAACGCGACTCAACTACAGCAGCTCTGCATCGTTACACGTGGTGATTCAACGCGATGACACTTAAACGGTTGGTAGCATAAAAATAAACAAGCGCACAAAGCAACGTTGATACATACAAGCTCGAATTGCACTTTATAGACAAATGAGTCCCTTTTACTGCACGCTTATTAACACGTTGTCCAAAATAATACGTAAACTATTGGATTGGATTAGATGCATCGGCAACTAGTCGCGGCAAATCCGAGAGTAATTATCCCGGCCAAAGAGATCGTTCACTCATAAGTCAACGGTGCTACTTGATCGGCTTGTTTGCTCTGAAAATAAGTTCAAATATTCACCGAGACGTTCGATACCCGATGCAACTGTGTTCTCTTTAAAATGTGCTCGCTTCATTGCAATGGACGAAATAAATGCACAGCATAGGCTATAAATAATAAGCTTTGTGCAAAGCGAAACGTGTTACATATTATCATCTATGCGACTGCTATATATTCTATTCCGCCTGAGCCGTATAATACGGTAGTAGCTGCTCTGCGTTTCTGCGCAATCAGCCGTACAGTCTACACGTACACAATCGCGCAATAAATCATTCGCGACCATTTGTTTATGCTGCCTGTGTGTATATCAGCATGAATGCAGTATAACAGCCAGAGAGCTTACAATACGTGACGCGTGCGATGCTGAACTCGCGACACCCACACCTGCCTCGATAGCAAGCGATATGTATCCGATATGTGCGCAAACGCACGCGCCGGCACCAAGCTCAAATTTATTTGAACAATTATTCCCGTCGCCTGGATGATCTTGAAAAAGTCATATTTATTGTGAGCGAGCCATTCGTAAATGCTTCCTACTTTTTTGCATTAATTAAGCCAGTTCAAGTGTCCAGCGTGTTTACGTGCGACAATGAAAACTCGTTTAATGTGTTCAGCCCATCTGTGTATGCAACATCCAACTTATTTTTTCCAATTAAGAGCATTAGATAAGTTGACCTTTTTCTGGCAAATTACGAGCACTCGTCATATTTTCCTATATCTGCATCGCTGAAACAAAAAAGATCCGATTACGCATAGTCAACGATCTAACATTTGTGGAAACATAACGTCATCCTTATTCATAACTCAAGACCAATCCATTGAAAGAACTATAAAAATGTAAATTTTTAATTTTACTCGTATTTGCAACAATTTCTGCTTATGCACGTCGATTACGATCTAGGAGTACGGTAGCGCCCTTTCAGAAATTTTGCAGAGTATCATGAAAAAAATAAAGCCAGTGTAAAAAATGAAAGCGGCCGAATAGCGATAACTATTCAAAGCAAGCCGCCAATAAATCATAGCAATCCATTAAAAATAAGCGTAAAATAAAAGCATCGATGCCGAGCGTATTCGCGCCGTGACGCACAAGATCGGCGACACTTTGCGATCTATTTAAAAAATGTATAAAAATGTCGGGCTTTCTCCACAGCTCGCCACTGTCTGGCGTCGACGGCGAGATGCGGGACCGGAGCTCGTACTACCCGCAAGCACCGCCGCGCTCCAGCAACAAATTCACCACCTTCATGAAGCACAACGCCCTGACGATGCTGACCGTGGGCGGTGTCCTCTCGGGCATCGGCCTCGGCCTCGTCGTCAAGAACTCGAGGGACGCCAAGTACAGCGAGAGAGAGATCATGTACATCAACTACGTGGGCGAGCTCTTTCTCCGAATGCTCAAGAGTTTGATACTACCGCTCATCATGGCCAGTCTTATATCGGCCATCGGATCGCTCGATTTGTCGCTCAGCAGAAAGATCGGCGGCAGGGCCATCATCTACTACATGACCACGACCATCAGTGCCGTCATATTGGGTACGGGCTCGTCTTCCTTCTCATTCCTATCCTAAGGCTTTTTTTAATTTCATATTTGACGCTCGACGTTTCAGGTATTATTCTGGTGGTAACCATTCAACCCGGCACGAGGCAAGATCGCGAAGCCACGAGCGACAGAGCGCCCAGAAACGTCACTACCACGGACACTTTGATGGACTTGATTCGGAACATGTTTCCTCCGAATTTGGTGGAGGCATGCATTTATCAGCATCAAACGAAAATATCCATGGGACCCAACAATACTCTAGGTAAAATCATTTTTCCTCACCTCAACTGTTAGAGATCGAGTTTTCCTTGCACTCACTGAAAATGTTTCCATTTTTATAATTAAAGACGACAAGTATTCGTGGAAAATCTCCTCATCGATGGAACCCGGTACAAACATCCTCGGATTGGTAGTGTTCTCCACGGTTTTGGGAATAACTCTTGGTAAAATGGGAGGCGATGGCAAGCCTTTGCTCAAGTTCTTCGAAACTCTTTCGACCGCCATGATGATTATCACGAACTGGGTCGTATGGTAATATAATCGTTCTTAAGTTTTCGCCGAGGGTCTCGTTAAAATCCAAAATTCCAACTCGTCTGTTTTTTCTTATCACATTTAGGTTGTCACCGGTCGGTGTTCTCTTTCTCGTTGCGTCGAAAATCGTCGAAATGGACTCGCTCGCGGACGTGGTTCAACAATTGGGCATGTACTTCCTGACCGTGATAATCGGCTTGTGCATTCACGGCTTCATTATTTTGCCGCTCATCTACTTCCTGTTCACGAGGCGCAATCCCTTCTCGTACATATCGAACATGGCTCAAGCGATGGCCACGGCTTTTGGTACTTCGTCGAGCTCGGCCACCCTGCCAGTGGCCATCGCCTGCTTGGAGGAGCGAAACGGCGTCGATCCTCGCGTCACGAGATTCGTCATGCCGATCGGAGCCACCATCAACATGGACGGTACCGCCCTCTACGAGGCCGTTGCAGCTATTTTCATTGCTCAAGTTCGTCACACCTCGCTGAGCTTGGGACAGTTGGCAGCTATAAGGTTTCTTTCATAATTTTGTCAAATCGTCCTCCAAGTGCCATCCAATCAGTTTTAACAATCCATCGATTTTATTCTGTTGCAGTATTACGGCGACCGCAGCAAGTATTGGAGCGGCTGGCATTCCTCAAGCTGGTTTGGTCACTATGGTCATGGTGCTCGATACCGTGGGTCTACCTTCCGGCGACATTTCTTTGATTCTGGCTATCGACTGGTTGCTGTGAGTTTTCTCTTGCAAATGTCTTTTTGAAAACTCTCCATTTACTCTTGCAGCATGTGACCTTTAATTGCCATTCACAGGGATCGCTGCAGAACAACTGTAAACGTCGTCGGAGATTCCTTGGGAGCTGGAATCGTCAACTACCTGAGCAGAAATGAGCTGGCAGCCCTGCCCCATCACAGTGGCGGAGCTAGTGCCAAAAATGGCGGAGGCGACAATCGCGCGGCGGCCATATGAGATGATGGCCCCACGGAGTTGTAATTGCCCGTATCGAAATTGTAAACAAAAAACATCAACGATCTAATCTTTTCCAACAGCAACAACAAGCAAGAAACTATTTCGGTACCATCTTTTACAGCACCGTACCCCCATCATAAGATAGAAATAATTAGCAATGGAGCAGCAGTTAGATAGATACGCGTCGGTCAATGTCAAGTATATAGCAAGTTTCAAAAAGAAATTATCAATGTGACTCTTGTAAGATGAAGTAAAACGAGCAGCGATTTGTTGCCCGATCCACCATTTCCATCGAGTCAAGTACGCACTGCTGTTCTATGCTGTAATTATATAGACGGAGTAATTAATTAATGACTTTAACTGACAATACAAGTAAATATTACACACATACTCGTCAATGTCTCCTTGAAGAGAAGGCATTAGAGTTGGGAAAATTTGCCAAATATATATTGCTGTAAGCACTAGCTTATAATGCATCGGTGCGCTTGACAATATATTAGTACGCTTTGCAGTAATTTTCTTGTCACGAAATACGCCATAATATGAATGAACACCACATTTGTGCAATACATGTAAAACAAGAAGCTTTCGCGATTCCTGGGCGAGTATTTACTGCAATTTAATACGTCGATTAGACGTAATTTTTGTTTTCAAAAAATTACGCCAACTGACAAGTTCGTCATTTTAAATCTTTCGCCTAAAATGATGAAAAAAGGAATTCATGAGATTAAGTACTGCCGTTTAATCATTAATAAAACTTCGCAAAATTTGAAAGTAAAGCCCCGACACCAAAATACACATGCTTGACTCGCTTATAAATACAAACGAAATGCCAAAAGTTTTTATATACTTTCGGATGGTGAGTTAGTTTATCATTTGCTGAGCTTAATAGATATGAAAGTCAACGGTCGCCACCTCCTCGGTTGTGATTACCCTGATCGATATAGTGTGGGTTCTCAAAAGATGCGATCAACACTCCAACATTCAATTAACGGCGTAACAAAATCACTCTAATCACGGATGAAAATCCACCACCTGTAAGTGTTCTAGCTTGACGCGTTAGTTTGTCTTACTTTTTGTAGAAGTCTAGATCAAAAGGGCCAAATTGAAAGTGTTCAATTTGAATCGATAAAGATACCCATTTTTAACGATGCATATACAAACACACATATCTTGACAAAAATATGCGAGATATTTATAAAGCTTTACTCATAAAACGTTTAGATAATCTCGTTCACAAAGTAACAATGGAAAGTTTCTAAATGTCGGTATAAGCAAGGTATATTATTGTAGTGATAATCGAAAATATATCAGAATTGAAAGTTACAAAAAAAAGTCTGCTAAGAATCCTCTGAATCTAATATTTCTGTAACGATGATATAATTAAGTGATCTTATGAATGCTCTCCTCCGGTGCTGGATCATTTTTCGAGATAATAATAGTTACTATAAGTATTATAAACAAAAAAAGTAATGAACTATCGAAGAGTAACGGGCAAAAATTAGTTTGATCTAATAATGCATATCTATTTTTTAAATTACGAAACCAATTTTAGTATACATCAACTTCGGAAAATTTTAGCTGACCTCTATGAAAGTCGAATGTTGTTATAATTCAATGAATTGTTTAATTTTATAACGGTTGACAATTAACAGGGCGTCGATCGCCTGTAAAAGTAACACACAAATGAAGTTGAATGAAAAAGGTCTGTCGAAGAACAAAACACACGTTGACGCGTCCGAGACGCCGATAATGAATCATGGTTTGATAATAAAAAATTGTCGAGTTAATCAAAGTATAAATAAAAAACTAGTGTCATATTATATGCATATAAATTTGGAAACGTATATAAATGAATGTCATCTTATGATAATAATATATTATATGTATACAGATTATACATAAAAAATACATATGTAAATGTGGTTTTACATAGAAATTATAACCGAAACAAAACTCGTATCTGTGCTTTATCAATAAATAAATATGAATGATAATAATTATTATATATGATATATATACTAAATGATATTATATACGACACATTTTCTATAGATGAAAAGTAAGGGCAAATGAATTGACAAGATTGCATGTGTGTGGTTTGTGTTGTCTGTGAGCGTATGTGTGTGTACACTGGGAAAAATATTTGGAGGATAAATCGCTGAATAAAACAGAAGTAACTCTCGTTTATTCGCGCCACTTTGGTCAATTTCCATTTTGACAATAGAACGCTGAACAAGCACAATCAAACTTGAAAGTATAGTTGGTACGATTAGTACCAACGAACCGATAAGAATTAAAGTGAGAAGAAAAAGAATTAATAAGTGGACGATGATAAGTAATCAAAATTAAATATTATACCTATAACATGCGCATGTACATATATTAAATAAAAGTATACTAGTAGAAAAACATAACAATGCACTTAACGAATGATGATTTTAATATCACAAAAATTCCGAAGCAGTTGGTATGTTAGCTCATTTCAAGTAAATCTCATTTGTTCCTCGCTTAAAATTCTATGAATATCTAAAAAAAAAACTATTTATTCGAAAAAATTTCAATTCTTTATTTCTCAATAATTCTGCGTTTCGGTACATAGTTTGATGAAAATCATGATTCAAAAGAAATATGATGTTCATGTTCTGCTCTTCTTTGAAGTTTTGTCACGTATACGAGCTGCAGATTAACAAAAGTGCTATTTTTGTTAAAGTTTTTTTTATTCATCAAAATCTCGTCTAATATCAAATAAATTTCAAGGTATATTACATAATGTATACGCCATATTATATGTATATTGTTATTTAATTTTAGATAAATCGCCTATTCAACGGAATTAGATGCAAGGAATTTGATATTCCATATTTAATTTGATTGGCTTGACACTTTGATACATCGATGTCACAGAGATTTTATTAAAAAATTTGTCAAAAATATTTTAATTTAATAAGTATAAAGTATTTATTGAGATCTGAGGTGAAATAGACATAATATATATCTGCAAACCTGAAATAAGTATGTGTCTTATGTATTGAACTCCATCGTAATATCATCATCTCAGACCTCAATATGTATAGTCTTGATTCATCACTGCCAATCAATTGTAATAAATTTGGAAAATTATTCGGAAAATCGTTAGCAAGGCACATAGAATTATTGTTGGGTAGGAATTGCGATTTGATGCTTTTAAAGTTTACATTAACAAAAGAAATAAAAAAATAATGTTTACGTAGAACTATAAGAATTTGTTCTATGAAATTTCTATACACAATATTCAACAAATAATTCTTATATCAAAGAGGTGCGCTAGCCCCTAGGCAGTAAAATATACAAAAAAAATCATAAAAAAAATTATTTAATAATTGATGAACACCAGACAATTCGAAGTTGATTAAAATAATTTTTAGTTTTCCATAAGGTTAATCGGATGTGGACGAATGAAAATTCTTCAATATGAATATATCAAAAGTGCATATCATTTTTTATAGTCAAATAATTACTATGGAAATTATATTTTCATCCTTTTAAAACATCATGCATTAATCAAATTTATTTCAATACGTATAAAATATTTCTTAAGCATATACGTAAATTAGTGCCATAAATCTGTACAGGAAAGAAAACATTTATTTCAAATTTACAAATCAAATTGCGTTTCAATTTGAGTATAAGAATTTACGAAAGATTTAATAGATGTCGGTGTTGAAGTATTGTGTAATAGTTCAAATATATCTACGCATTAGAGTTATTGGCAGACAGAGGGACGTATTCAATAATTTGATCAAACAAAAAACTCAAGACAATACTATCATAGATAATCAAATAAAGTACTGCAAAAATGAAAGTATGCGGACCGATATTTTACAATATCGGGACGAAAAATTAAATTTAAAATACACTTTTACAGATGCATATACACATTATACATTTACTTTACGTATACATTAGAATACGGCAAGAGCCACTGCTACAGATTTAACATGATATTTTAACTTTCTATTTTGAATCTTAAAAAAAAATAAAGAGAGAAAAATTGTTATCTACTAGAAGTTTGAAAAGTAATTATTAATTGTTATTTATAAATTTCATTCATTTAAAACGTTTTACTGTAAATTGTAAACTATAAATAAAATATACGTTCTACTGATGACAATAAGCATTGAAAATATTGATATGTAACCGTAAGAGTACAAAAAATTATACTTTGAGCTTTTGGTAAGTATGAACCGAAAAAAGCCCATACATGAATTGAAAATATTGTATTGAACTAGATAAGATTCTCCAGAAAGTTTTAATTAAGTCAAAAGTAGTTACAAATATTAGGAATATACGTGAAAAAGTAAAAAAGATCCCAAGAAAGTATAACATTCGATTTTAGTTACAAAATATTCTCGAGTATTTTTCGATAAGAAAAGCTGACAATATTCTTCATTATACTTATTATACCATATGGAAATCTTTGACCAAATAACAATGATGTATTATGTACCGCAAGTATATATTGTATTTTGAATCCCTTTACCTATAACATATGAATCTGTAAAAAAAAATTAATTTCTTCAGCTACAATCTCGTCACCTACTTTAAAAAGTATAAAAAATATCGATGCGATATCGAAAAAGCGAAACATTGATAGAATGAGAACAATAAATGAGCAAAAAATGAAAACGTTGTAGTTTTTTAATGAAACATTCTCATTTTTGTTAAACGGTGTATAATAGATGATATTGTAAAATGTATACTTTGAATTATAATTTTATAATAATCAAGACGATAATTATGTAAAAAAATTTCTTCTGCATTGACAAACCTGTGCGTATAAAAGCTATTATTATTAATAAGGTTTACAAAAACAGAAAAACACTTTGAATATAAATATAAATACGAATTAGCAATATGTAGAATTGCATGTAAGCGTGAAGTGGATAAAAACAAAAAATTAATTGCTAACTTGTTCGAGAAGCATAAAATAATTAAAGTAATTGTTTAGCGTTTGTGAGCCAAATTCCATGTATGTATGTATTTATTATATCGTTGTAACTCGCCAAAATAAAGATCTTATTTAAACAAAACTATATTGATTTTATAATTGGTTTTTTAATTTTCTCACTGATAAGCCGTTGAGTCAAAAAACTCAAGTATTTCATGACAAATTTTAGAAAAATATTTTGGAAAAATGTTAATAGCTTAATGAAACGGTTGGATTGGAGAATTGTAAAAGTAAGGGATTTTTGATTAATCAACAAAGTAATAGTATATCATTAACGTGTCTATTTTTTAAAATCTGTACAAGATGCGACACAACGATGGAAAATGTAACAACAGTTTCAGACAATAGGACCATCATCCTGTATCGAAATCAATAATCATTAGCGTTTAACGTTCGCTATATTTGATCAAATATTTGAACAATGCTTACTATTGATTTACATGTATCAATAAATTAACTCTTTGCTCTTATACAATTTTTCAAGTATATTCTTCAATAAGTAAGACTTATACAAAACAACAAAAAAAGTATATAAAATTTTCAATTTAACAAGCATTATACAAGTTTTTCAACATAGTAATTCAGAGATAAAAGGAAATTTATCTGTAAGGTATATGCCCCTATTTTCGGTCAGTTAGGCTCTCATTTCGGTCAACTTTGAATTAATTTTTGAAACTTGATATCTGAATTTGAATAATATATTTCTGTTGAAGATGTTCGATTCATTCAACCAATTATTAAAAAAAAATTTCCTACGTATAATTAAATTGTTAATATTAATTATTGACCGAATATAGGGACATGACCGAAAATGGGGAGGTATACCTTAATAAAATCAGAGACAGTTATAATGCAAATAAATGGCATCTCTCGCCACACCACGCCAACTGAATGTGCAAAAACAATGTTTTTTTTCTTTCTCTCGGTATAACTCGTAAAAATCTTCAAAGCAACTTCTGGAACATAACTGGTTCGTTAGAAAATGTTCTGCTCTTTCGATTTAAACTATTAGAAAAATCTTAATAATAAGTTCGTTTTTTCTAAATACATGTAGGTACTTTTAAAGTAAGTTAGAAATTAAGTGATTGGTCAAAAAAATATCGTGCGGCAGCCGCGCAAGGGGGTTTGACGGGAAATGCCACATAAATACTATACTTTTTTGCGTAATTTCGGCATAAACATATTACATTTTTATGTATATATATAATATTATATATAGTGGAAAACAAATGATTATAGAAAATAAAATATGAAGCTCTTTGACATTATCAACTTTCATATTATACTTATTTGCACAGATTAATTAAATACAGATTGAACCGCTAGGCTCGGAAACGTACAAAAGCATTAACAATGTCGAATAATGGATTATTATCGATGAGAAAATATTAGTTATTTCTAGGGCTTTTAGACTACTCTATTAACTTATTATCTAACGACACGAGCAACTAGAGCTTTCTCTTTAAAAAAACAATAAATTAACAGTTAACTTCCAAACTATAACATTATGATCACAAATTAAACCAGAACTATACATGATTAGTTCTCGTTATAAGAAAAACATATATTGTTCGTCACTTCTGAATATAGTTTCTTTTGTGTATCAGTAAGCGTTTTGGTCAGTCTTTGTTAAGTAAATATAATATCATCTTTGTGCATAAGCATTTGAAAATTATTAGATTTTTAATTTACAACCTGACAACCTGACTACAGAGAGGCAGGTACTTATTTTCTTTTCTTCTTTCTTCCAGGATTCATTATATTCTAAAGTTCATATTGTCGAAGTTGCTCTTGCATTTTGCTGCATAGTAGCTATAAAAAAAACATAATAATTTAAATATTGTAAAATAATTCAGACGAAAGAAAATGTATCTAACCTGTTTTGTTGGTAAGTCAGGGATGAGAAGAACCTTTACCATATCTGAAGTTCCAAATAATCCTCCAAGTTTCTTTCTTCTACTGTTATCTTTTATACACACTTGAATTCCTTTGTCAACCATAATCGGAGGTGGATCAATTTCTTGCCAAGTGTAAGACCAATCAACCTGAAACAAATTCATAACAGTTTGTGCTTACATTTTTTTATTAATAACGCAGTATTTAAAATAAAACATACCTTCCAACCACCAAATAAATCACATTTTTCAAGGTACGCGATTCTTTTATCAGTAAGTAAAAGTACGTCTTTGTGCATAAACATGTGAAAATAATAAACATCGGTATTTGCATATTTCCCTTTTTCTAGCTCCTAAAAATCAAGTTTTTTCATTAATAAAGAATAATAAAGCACAGTAAATGATAAATTAGTTATTTACACTAAGTATCTTGTTTCCTTCAGCATCATCGCGAACATAAGGTCTAACCAAACTGTCAGGCTGCAAAAAGCGGGGAGGTCTAACTCTTTTTGCTTCTTCATTCATATCTGTTGCTCTAAAAAAGTATATTCAAGTTATAGAACGCTAGCTGGCAAATCATTAATAATATGAGCTAACAAAATTACCTTCTAACTGCTCCAAATGAACCACTGGCAAAGTCCACAATACCTGCAGTTGGTCTCGTAACAAGACCAACAACTCCTTTGCCAAACCCTTTGAAAAATCCTTCTACACCCTCTTCTCTAGCACCCGAAATCGGCTTCATAACAACTCCTGATATACCATCAACGACCCCCTATAAAAAGAAATTTATTGAAAACAATTTGTATAGTTCATGAATTTAGAAAAGACGTCGTCGTTACCATAACAAGTCCTTTTCCACTTCTAGCCAAACCCTCTTGTAGATTAGCTGGTTGCTTATTTAATTGTTCTTGTCTTTTTCTTTGATAATCTTTATCAAACGTTAAAGCAGCAAGTCCTTTGCCCATTGCTCCAGTAATTTTGGATACAGCACCAGCCATACCACCTACAGTATGACCTAGCACACTTTTGACCCCAAGCAAAAGACCTTCAGCGAATTCGCTTGGTCCTTGAATGGCACCTTGGAATGGTTCATAAAAAAGATCTTCCACACCTTTCATAGCTCCAACAACTAAACCATAAGGATTGCCTATAACATCAAGACCAAGAACTAAAACGTAAAGTTGTTTTATAGCTTGGCCAGTGTAGTGACTGGTAGCCTCGGATATAAGTTGATTGTGAGTCATAAATACGTAGTCACGCTCAAAGTACGCCAATTTGAAGACAATATCATTTATGTCAGTTATGGTAACACCAATACCCTGAAGAAGTACATTAAGTACTTGGGGTACTGCTGAAGGGCCACCTCCACTTCCAGTCATCGAAAAACTTATGTGAATCTAAAATATATTTAGATCATTACAAATAATTAAAATCTTCAATATTTCTTAATTGAATAAAACTGTACCTTAAGTGGTGAAAAATGTAACAAGTCGAAGAAATTCTTTTGCTCGGCTGTCGTGATCAAGTTAACATGGTGTAGCAAAGGCTCATTTACCAATTTCATATCGATTTTGAATAATTCACTCTGAAATATTGAAATTAAAAATATTCATTTTTTCAACATCTCCGATAGTTTGTGAGTACGAGTTTTATTTTACCTCTTGGGTATCATTAGCTTTATCGGCCTCAAAATATAGCATGAGCGCGTTCATGAAAGCTAAATCAACTTTAATGTGGAACTCTTGAACAAGCACTTTAAAATAACGAAATTGTTGAACATTACTGTGAGCTAGCAAACGTTTGACCATACTCAGTTCGGCGAAAGGCTTCATAACTATTCAATTTAATAAAGATAAATAGTACAAGACTTATTAAGTTAAATTTATAATAATCCGAGGCTAACTTACTTGAACTTTGGGAGACACTTTTGGGCGGGGGTACGGGCGCCAATATAACAGGAAATACGCAATCTGATAATTGATTATCAATTTGTAACCGGTTGATTTTAGCATGCAACTGAACTTGGTGTACCGAAGTCCGATACTGTAACCAGAGACCGGTTTGGAAAGTACGACGTAAAAATCGTCGATGGGGTCTTAACATTTCCATATTCATATAGTCCACCTATAATATGATTTACCCATTAGTATTAAATGACAAAGATTGAAGTTAATTGATCGTACTTCTAATTTTGGTTCCAAAGAAACTCGATAAAACGTTTCTTTATCAACTTGAAGCTCTCTCATATATCTTTGATATCCTTCTTCGATCATTCCTACTTCTCGATTGTTTAAAGCACGCCATCTACCATTCATCGATTTTCTCGTTTCCCAAATAATTCCAGAACTTGCGATGCACATATACAGAAGCTCCGATCGATTGATATTATTTACCAATGATAATCCAACTCCATGAATACTTAGAGTTATGTCCTGATCGATGATTTCGAGATCGCCAACCAATTGACAATCTTCAGCGATCTTCAGATTAGGCGTGAAAAGCAATACTCTTTGAGTACCATCGAGAAAAGACACGTAATAAACTTCTTGATCGATATCGGGTATAATAAAGGCTCCTAAATTATCCTAAAGCATTATGATTGTTAAAAGAAGTTTTCGTTCAAAATTCTATGGCACATATCAAAGTAATTACTTTTTTAAGATTATCGGCGATTTCGCGTTTATTTCCATCCTCCCAAACGAGCATTCTTGGCCCTGCTGGATTTTCCCAGGTGTAAAACATACGGTTATACGACTGTATCGTTCGCACGTTTAGTGAGCCTTTTTCCCATAGATGCATTGGAAATGGGGTGTGGTTGATTATCAAAGCCGGTGCATTACCCGGAGTGTAAGCCGAGAGCGATACGTAAACTCCGCCTTCGTTTATCTGTACATCAACGTTAATGCCACCATACTTGTTGTCGAGCTTTAGCAGAGTACTGTGGACGTCAGTATAAATAAAGGCAGCAGTTTTTTCTGGATGCCCGTAAACTTTAGCTTTTAATGTTTTTTCCTCTAGCTCACAATGCGGCCACAAGGCAGCGCACTCACCAGGTGGCACCTAGGAAAACGAAAGAGCATGAAATATTTTAAACGAAAAACCAAATAAAATTTAGTGAGTGTTTTATTTACTTTGATGAGTGGATCAGCGGGGCGATCAGCTTCTTGACACTCAATTATGAAGTCTGCATCATTGATCAACACGTAATATGGCGTGAATGTTATCTGTTTTGTTAACGAATTATACGTGAGCTGATTATGAACGCCAATCTAAATTTCAAAAGAAAAGAAGGTAACCAATTATTTCTCAACTATCCCTGTAAATTTCCTTTCAAAAATTACCTGATAGACTTTCCCATTGTATTTACATGATACAACACCTTTACTCCCAGCCACATCGATGGAAAATTTATCTGACCATTCACCATCTTCAATGCGGACCATGGCTTTTTTTTTGCCGAAAAATACCTTGGATCTAAATGAAAATAAAATCGGGCCTTTGAACGTCTCTGGATGATATAACACGTTCAGGTGATCCTCTGTAGTCTGCAAACGAATCATTGAATGATTTTCGACTTTTATCGTAAGATTGAAAATTCATTTTTCCAAAGAATAAAAAAGCGTTTATATATATATATTTTTTTTGAAATGTGTACCAGCTGATAATTTGCATTTTCCCACATCATTTTAGCGGATTGATTTGATGTAAGCAATTCTGATTATATATTTTATATTATTATTAACAGATGATAGCAATTAGTTTGGATGAAAAGAGATTAGATTGCCAGCCACACACCTTTGAAATGTACTTAAAACTATTCAATTCATAAACATGCAGATGCACCATGCAAAATAATGATTTATCATGAGCACATCACCAAAAAATACCCGTTTCAAAAATAATCCATCCTACAGAAATAAAATCCTACAGAAACAATGATGCGTTGTAAAGAAAAGCTGAAATAGCGTGAAATTTTGCGAGAAAAATAAATAAAGGCATATGCAATGTCACCGATGACGATGTGGAGTAAGAGATATTTTGCGAGATTTATCTATCAATTTTCACGCCACCTTTCTCCATCCAAGTCGTCCGCGTGTTTGATGATCACTCGATCTTATGCACGATAGTTTTCTCTGAAAAGTCAATTAACAAGTGTTTTTTCTACTACTCGTGTAAATATTTCCTTTTTTTTTGTAGCCCGGTACATTCAAAATTAACTCGTTTCTCGTGTGTGTAATATCATTGAAGCCGAAATCATTCATTATAAAAATAATTACATCTATCGATCATAGTATCTTTAATTAGATCGAATAAAATAAGTTAAGTGGCTTGTTAATATATGCTTAATAAATATGAATCAATGTGAAACGAGTAATTAAAGATACTTTATATAGAATAGATATTATTGTAATGAGTTGTAAACTTATTCGGAAGCTTTTAAAATAACAAATGAATAAACTTATAAGACAGCACACATCAATGAAACAATTACATAATCTTCAAATTAAATAATAATAATAACAACAGAAAAATGTAATCATAAAGAGACATGTTTTGAATCAGATATAACTTTTGATTCTCTACCTTGATCGGACTTGAGTGCTCTTTGCCACCTTTACTTGATTTCTGCAAAACAATTGAAAGTCGCGTTTAAGTGGTGTGCAATGTACAAACTAGCACACTAATGCAATTTCTTTATGAAAAAGTCAAAATATGGATGTTTTTTGAAAATCGAATCTTTATGGGTCAAGGTGTATGTACTAAAAATGTATGATTTATTATGTTAGAAGTAACGATCTGCGATGCTGAAACTAGTTCAAAAATAAACTTTTTAATCTCTTTTTGTATAATTTCTACTAAATATATCTCTAAAAGGCTCGAAGATAACCTTGCTAAGGTGACATCAAAGAGCCTTTTAAAAAAAAAATTCTGTAGAAGTTTCAGAAAATGAGATTGGAAATTCAATTCTTCGACTGACTTTGTGATCTCCTAAAGAAAAAATGCTATTAGTGAACAATTCTTAAATCTATTATGTGCGTTTGGACGTTTAAAATAATAATAGTTTTATGAAAATGTATAATGAATTTTAAATAATTAATTATTGTTTTTGAACCAATAAAATTTAAACTCAAATTACGATGCAGTATTATCATTAATAATATCAAGACGAATCATTTGTAAGCTTAGTAATATTAATGAAAGTAGAAGGTAAAGGCCAAAGTCATTCATGGAGTAAAATGTAAGCAAAAAGTATATTTCATTCAATTCATAAAGATAATGAATATGACAAACCCTTGTACCTAGAATGTATTCGATTATTGTTGAAAAGCAAAATATTAAACGAGACAAAATGTATGATGATGTATTTTTGAGAGTAAAGATAAAAACTTACCCGGTAAGAAAGCATGAGACCAGTTTTATTCAGCATCCAGAAAGGACAATAGAGTGCCATGATTATTGATCCGTGATTATACGATGTGTGTATGCCCAAATCCATAATGACTTTCTGTGCACTGTCAAATGATTCAAATGACCAAACCGAAAATTCTGGAGCATTGGCTGTTATATCCACTTTGCATGACCAGTCTTTTTCCAAATATTGTATCAGCTACGAAACCGCAAAGTAATTTAATAATGAGTGTTTTTTAACGCTTAATTATTCTTACTCACTTTAATAACGATGTTGGAATGATTAGGATCGATTGTGGGTATTTGTAACGTAGTGCTTGCTTCAACCTTTCGTTCTTGTGTGTTTCCAGGCAGACATATGACGATGTCAATCGGAAGGAAGTTCTTCAAATATACCGATGGATAAAGATGGACATTGTAGATGGTGCTTGCCATTGTGTGTCGCGATGTATTTTCGAAGTAAACCTGCTCAATTTCACCAACAGCCTGCAAAAAGTCATAATGTTATTTGCAATTTGGTAAATTAAAAATATCTAACGAAAACTCTTTGCTAGCAGCGCGAGGAGCAATAGGGTCATTCAAGTAACAGGTGTTAACATATAAAGCCTGATACTGCCTCCTCGACCATCCGAAATTTCTTTATTTTTCAACATGCTTCTGACATTCTCATGTTAAATTCCTTTGTCAACCTATTAATGTTCAAGTGTACCGTTCCATCTTAAAAATACTTATAAAACAAAATATTGCAATGATAAAAGCACTACAAAAACACTAGCCTATATTAAAGGTCAGATGAAGTATCAGACGATAAACATGAAATTTCTCAGTTTACGTCGAGAATTATTTGATATAAGTAAAATGAATGAATGTAAACGATGTTGATGCGTGAACATGATTTCTTACTTCATATATTCATCCAAGTACATACTAAATTTAATTTTATAGTATTTTAACATACATGCATATAATAACATTGTGATGGACATAGTGTTAGAAGTATAAAAATGTGTGTGAGTTGCAAGATTAGAGTATACCTGAATAGGCGAAGCGGGTGGTTGAAAAACATGAGGTAAGTCGATACGAGCTCGCCAATCGGCGAGTCGACGACGGCTATTAGTTGAACGGGGAAATTGACGCTCGACCAGATTCACCAAATGACCAAGTGTTTCGCTACTAAAGAGGACGCTAGCCACTATCAGCATCGCGTATAACGTCTAGACATGTAGTCCCAATGAAAAATAGGGAAAAAACAATAATTTAACCCTGACAACTGTCCTACCTAATGTTACTTTCTTTCATTTTTGTTGTTATCATGTATCAGTATATCACGAGAATTTAGCAGGTACGAAACCAAAAGAATTTCTTTTCAATTACCTGAATGTAAAAGGGCTCGATCGTGTCCATTTTGGAGCGCGTTTCGCATTTTAAAACTTTCGTCATCGAAACAGTTTTCTGAAGATCCTTCCAGACGAATGGTTCTATTGATACCATGTATCTATAACATAATTATTTTTACATGACAATAATTATGTTTACATTTACATTTCAAGTTCCTAGTAGGATTTATTTAAAATGTTTTACTTACCCGTCAATACTGAAGAAGAGCCAGTAGATATTGGTAGGAGTATAAACAGCATCTAATGGTAAATTAAGCTTCTCGTCGGGAGAAACAGTGCCAACTTTTTCAACCTCGTTACCACGCTTTGTCATATAATAAACTGATACTGGTTCACAAAAATGATTGTGTACCTTCGTTTAAGCAATTGTAAAAATCAATAAATAAAAGTTCAAGAATTCGCTTTTTGCATTAGAAATTGATGTTACCTGTAAGATACTTCTCAACGTCACAATAGTACTACCGTCTTCGACAACAACATCGGATATGATACCCCATTCTTCCGAACCTTCTTTTCTATATTTTAAAGAGAAAAATCGTTTGTCTGCACGTAGAACTGGAATCTCTAGTTTTCCATCGATCCCTTTGAATGATATGACGAACTTTTTAATGCCCCGATCTTTTACTGTGTCAGCCTTTAATTGTTCTAATAAGTGTATTTCAACTTTAACTTTGGACGCAAGTTCTACGGAAGCTCCAGACTCTAAAATTACTTCAGCATAGGATGCGCGAGGATTTTTCTGAACATTACCTTCGCCTTCTGCTACCTGTTGCATGAAATTTCAATATTATTCGCATGCACGTATTTATAATACATATATGGGTCAGATTCAGAATTTTTCAAATAAACCTGCGGGCGAGGTTCACGGATTTTCCTGAAATTTTGGTATGTTATAGTACATGATAAAAAAGTGCCAAAACAAAAATTTTGGACCCCCTCCCCCCTCCTACCCCCCTCCTCCCCTATAGACGTCCATTTTCTATCTATATTTTTTCTGAAGGCCTGAAGCTATTAAAAAATCTGAAAAAATTCATGAAGGTACTTTTCAACAATCCAAACAACCTTGAATTTTTTCAGATTTTTAGAGTGCTTCAGGCCTTCAGAAAAAATCATTGAAAATTTAAATTATTTTATTTTCGGTAAAATGGTTCGATGTACCAGACCGGAGTATTTTTTTCTGAATTCTGACGTCAAAAAACGATTCCTTGAATTTTTTCAGAATTTTTCATTCATGTCCATTCAGCCTAGAGCTGAAAAACCGCTTTTTTTCACGAAAATAATTTTTTTAAGGCGCTAC